TTGCAGGCCCCCACAAAGGTGCACATGCACCCAGTATTTCCAGCCCTGGAGTGGCTACAGATGGTATAAAGCTCCCAGGAATGCCAGAGTGCCTCCAGGACTGACCCTGTAGAAATTGGGACTTAACAGCTAAACAACTTTTCCGTCATGTTTAGATGGAGCACATGTAGATAGCCCCTGCCTAACAGTCATGCCTGACTGGAAAGTATCAGGGTGGGAAAATATTGTGATAGGCGATAGGACATGGTTTGGTGAGGGGTGATGAGTGGTGACCATATGTCAACTGACCTGCTATAGAGGACACCTCCAACTCCACAGTGTACACAGATGTATGTTAACATCTGTGTCCATAATATCACCATAGTCCATAATATCGCCACCTTGAGAAAAAGTGTGCTTAAAGATATTTTTACTGCAACATACCCTAGGTAAGTACATTTGAGGTTTGCAGGAGTGCATACCAAAAGTATGTTGCAGTAAAAATATCTTAAAGCATACTATTTCTCAAGGTGGCGATATTATGGACCCTGGTGATATTATGGACACGGATGTTACACCACCAATACATGTACGCAGATTTGGGACAAATCATACAGTATAAGTACTGGATGTACATGTACAATATATATATAATATAAGCCACCTGTACATGTACAGTATAAGGTGCCACCTGTACATGTACAGTATAAGGTGCCACCTGTACATGTACAGTATAAGCCACCTGTACATGTACAGTATAAGCCACCTGTACATGTACAGTATAAGGTGCCACCTGTACATGTACAGTATAAGCCACCTGTACATGTACAGTTTAAGGTGCCACCTGTACATGTACAGTATAAGCCGCCTGTACATGTACAGTATAAGGTGCCTGTACATGTACAGTATAAGCCACCTGTACATGTACAGTATAAGCCACCTGTACATGTACAGTATAAGCCACCTGTACATGTACAGTATAAGCCACCTGTACATGTACAGTATAAGCCACCTGTACATGTACAGTATAAGCCACCTGTACATGTACAGTATAAGCCACCTGTACATGTGCAGTATAAGCCACCTGTACATGTACAGTATAAGCCACCTGTACATGTACAGTATAAGCCGCCTGTACATGTACAGTATAAGCCACCTGTACATGTACAGTATAAGCCACCTGTACATGTACATGTACAGTATAAGCCACCTGTACATGTACAGTGTAAGCCACCTGTACATGAACAGTATAAGCCACCTGTACATGTACAGTATAAGGTGCCACCTGTACATGTACAGTATAAGTCACCTGTACATGTACAGTATAAGCCGTTTATTACATTTTATGGTAAATTCCGGGTAGCCACAATGCATTACGTAGAATTAAAATTGCCAGTTACGCTCTACGCAAAATGCAGTAATTTAATACGTTGAATTAGACCAGTCTGTCTATCGATGCTCTATGTAGAATTAAAATAGCCTATTACACTCTACACAAAAGAACACACAATCCCCCAGAAGGCTTTGCTGTCACAAAACATAATCCTAGCCAAGAGTAGGGATTGTCTTTGTTTTGAGGTTTTACAATTTTATCAACCTCTCACACAGTTTCCTTATACATAGTGATGCATACCGGTTCACTGGACTTGGATCCGGACTTAAAAAATGTTTAGGTTCAAGTCCAAAAAAACCTAAAAGTCAAGAACCGAGTCCGGACTTATTACCATAAAAGACCATTTTACATAGCCCTTCTCTTTCCAAACCACCTAAAACCTTCTGTAGATTGTAAAATCTTTGCTGCAAAATGAAGAAAACATTGCTGTCGGGCATCGTCAAGTACCGGCCTCCATGTTATGCGGCCAAAGTTTCACCCAGACAACATTGCAAGGTTGCCAACATGCAATTTT